GACTCCTCATTGTTTTTGTGCATACAGACTAACACAGCTACTGCTCTGATACTTGAATATGGTACATTGAGCACCATAATGGATGTGTTCTGTTGGATGTACCTAGAACATTCACCAGAAGTCATATAATTAAGGTAATCTTTGTTTACGTTATTTCTTCTCATCCTGAACACAAAAGAATCGTGGGTGGTAGAGCTGTGTGAAAAAAAATACATATAATTGGCAAGACCAATGAAAATTCACATTTGCTAGCAACAGAACTATGGAGAAAGGGAGTTTGTTTTTCACTAAGGAATTGACCATTCCACCCAGCCAAAATGCTAGCCAATGCCCCAAATTTGCAGTTCCCATAGTCAGAGGCTTGAAAGACTTTACTTGGGAGCCTCACACCTGGATTTGACTGCACTATTTAAACACTATTAAAACAAAAGCTGAATTCTTCAACAATCTGACTTTCAGGAGCATCACCAATGAAAATCTGCCCAAAATAGATACCCTGCTGTGCAAATCAACAGGGGATTGTTGCGGCGGCATGGCAGCTTCCCACCACGGTGTATGAGGACATGCAGGGAATCCATACATAGAACTGATCAAATAGGTAAAGTGCACATGGGCAAAGATGCATTCCTTCAGATGAGAACCTGGCTGGGGAGTGTAAGGGATTAAGAAACATTGTCTCTGGAAGAAAGGGACACAAAAATCTCTCCAAATCTAGATAGAAGAAACTATGCAGTGCATATGGGAGGACAAACAGAAGTCTAGCAAGAAATAAAATATTCCTTTCTGGTCTCCAAAGAATAGAAAATAGCTGCAAAAATTAGATGACCTGGCAAGCAGGTCATACGAGAATTGCTCATCTATGGAATTCTAAAAAACTACATGCCTGGCTCAGATACTATGATGATGAGGGCAGTATAAACCTGTATATAGACTAGACTAGAAATGGCTTTATAACCTCCTGAATAAAAATCATGGGCCCACAGCCAAATTGTTCACTAAATGTAGAAAGAGCACACAATGCAATCACACCAATGCCCCTTAAACATTTGCAGACATTTTCAAAAAGAAATTGGGTGTAGACACTTACCTATTCCATCTAATGAACATTTCCAACATCCCAGACTTTGTCTCTGGCTTCTCCTACTAGAGTCACTGGACTAGAACATAGTTAGTAAGGAGCAAAATAAGCTGAATTATGTAGATCAGCTCTTGCAGATTTTAGACTTGAAACTGGTCAACAAATCCAGCAATGACAACCCTTATGGAGCAGATGTCTATATTGGTCTCCCACTTTGACATTACCTCCGCACCAGAACAGACTCCAGAAGACATACAGCAACTCATGTCAGTGTCTGAAAATTGGGTAGATTTAAACACTGTTCTCTATGCATCTCTTAATAGTGCCACAATAGGCAAGCCACAGCATATTCAGGGGTGTGTGGAAGGAGAATTTAAGAGTACCACCACTTCCTTACCATCAGAGAGTCAAATTCAGCCCTGATGTAGGCAGGTGCTACCTCTACTGAAGTCAGTGGAGGTGGCCTCAATTATGCTATGGTTCAGTTTATCCCCTAGAGAGAATTCCAGTGCAAAGTAAGCCCATGCATTTCCCATATACCAATAATCACCAACAAAATGATTATGAGCAGCCCCAGCTTCTTCTGAAGAGGAAGTGTGCAGCTAGGTGATCACACACACTTCCTCAGACTGTCCACAGTCTCAAACATTTTTGTCACACACATAAAAGCTGACAGAAAACAGGCTGATTTAAAGAAATCCAGCCTATTTCTAGATACTAGATCAGTAAAACAAGGGATGGCATTTACTGAACATTAATAGCAACAGGTAGGGTGACCAGATAGCAAGTGTGAAAAATTAGGACGGGGGTGGGAGGAATAATAGGCCTCTATATAAGAAAAAAGCCTCAAATATCGGGACTGTCCCTATAAAATCAGGACATCTGGTCACCCTAGCAACAGGGAAATGTATCACCACATTATAGCTCACAGAAGAGAAAACCTTAAAATTACAATGTAGCTACACAAAATAAGAAAAAAGTAGAACACAACTTGAATTAAGAGTGTCCAAACACTGATCTGAGCAGTACTTATCTTTAGCCAATGAGCTACTTTTAATATGAATTAAACAAAGGCAAACAATGTCCTTAACCTAAAACTAGCTGCACTGTAATATACCTAGAAAGACGTCAGATTCATTTATACACAGAATAAATAACTGCATACATGCCTGCATATAATATTTCTACACCATATACCCATGTACCATGGCCATGACTCTTACTCCTCCTCTCTGCCTCTTTGTATAATCATAGTAGTGATGCCAGGCACTAGTCAAAATCTGTACAAAGCCCTGTGCAAACACAGAGATTACTATTTGAATATAAGGCAGACAAAAGGTGGAAGAAAAGATTTATTCATATTCCTATTATTTATTACAGTCCGTTGAATTCCCTCTCCCACCCCCATCAAAATGTTTTTACAACTAAAAGTGGCTTTTTGACCAAAATGCAAATTTTTACATAAAGTTTTCTGGTTTTCTAACAAAGTGGAAAATAAAAACAAAACAAGTTTAAAAATAAATGTTTTGAAATTTGTTTTTTTTTTCAAAAATCATTCACCCCTACTCCCCCCCCTTTCTGTTTGGATTTTCCTTAAACAAAACTTCAGAGGAAATGTAAAGTGAATTCCCTTCGCCCCCAAATTTTCCCCAATATAGTTGGTATTTTTCAGTCAGCTCTAATTATTATCTCCAGTTACAGATGGGAAAGTGAGGTACCGAGAAATTAAGTAACTTCCCCAAGATCACTCAGGAAACTTGCAGAAGACTGAACCCAGGTCTCTAAAGTCCCAGACTAGTACCTTAATCAAAAGTCACCTCTCTTCTCTGATTAGGGGATATATTCAATCAGGTGTGTGGGAGGCAGAGGCAGGCTGTGGAAAGAGCAGCCCCTGCCCTCTCTAGAGCTCAGCAATGGAAATTTCTTCTGGACTCTGTATGGAATGGAGGATAGAAGGCATCTTCAACCCTCCCCTTTATGCACCCATGCAAAGGCCAGGGACAATCTGGGCCAAAATGATTCTGCATCAAACATTTCCAGGGTTTTGTGGCTCTATTTTTCAGTCTAATTTGTTTGCCAAATCTTGGCCAGAATAATGTTTTTGGCAATCTAAGCATGCATGCATTATGCAGACTAGAGATGAGCCAGGAGCAAAGCTTCACATCCAAACGCTCCTGAGTTTTAAGAAAATTTGGTTTTATATTCAAACTTCATGGGCCTGATTCTCCTCTCTCTTCAACTGAGTTACTCCTGATTTGAACAAAGAAGAGAGTCAGGTCCTGGTTGGAGCTCAGGACCATCTCTAAGGTCTTGTCTACAGTACAGAGTTTTGTAGACAAAAGTCAGCTTTCGTTGACAAAATAGTGGAGGTGTATACACTACAATGCTTCTTCTGCCAACAAAACTCTTGTGTTTTGCTGACAAAATAAAAGCACCTTAACCAGAGGCATAGAGCTTTTTCAGCAAAGTTATATTGACCAAAGTGTCAGTGTAGACACCACACTTGGTTATGTTGCAGTAATTGGCCTCCAGATGTCCCACAATGCCCATCCTGACCGTTCTAGTTTGGACTCCTCTGCCCCTCACCCAGGTACACAGGCTTCTGCCCCTCCCCCTCTAAAGGTCTGGGAATTTTTGAAATTCCACTTCCTGTTGGCTCAGCATGGACAACTCACATCTCATCTTTCCAGCTGATGATGGTGGCTCCACACAGCAAACGCTTTCCCAGTTTGAGCACACCTGAGTTGTTGGCTCTGCTGGCACCGTGGGGAGAGGAGGCTGTGCAGTCCCAGCTCTGCTCCAGCCATAGGAACTTCGATACCTACAGTCAAATTTCTCAAGGCATGTTAGATAAGGGCTACAAACGGGACACCCATCAGTGCAGTACAAAGATACAATGCAACACCAGATTGCCTCGAAGACCTGTCGGTTATATAAGGAGCTGAACACCATCCTCAGGAACGACCCCACCTCCACTGCCAAGAGCCCCATAGATACTTCAGCGGGGCTGGAGACAGAGGACAGTGGACTGAACCCTGAGGATGAAGTAATGGATGAGGAGGTCAAGTTGGAGGACGATGTGGAACCCACAGCAGAGTCATCTGGTGGTGCAGTGAGTCAAGACCTCTTTTCCACTCTGGAGGGATCTAGCCAGTCCCAGCGGTCCATCTATGGTGTGCATGATGCATGAGAGGAGATGTCTAGTAAGTGCGCTTTTTAAGTGGATGCTGCTCAGTTATGTGAGGTAGAGCTGTCCTAGAAGTGGGTGATGGGACAGAAATGTACAAGACCAGCTGTGTTTGCATGTGCTTCACATTCCCCTGTTCAGCTAAGCAGTGCAGTGGAACAGTGTGTTAATACACACTGAGATTTCATGGAAATCTTCCAGAGAGATCTCTAGGGGGAAAAAACCCCCAACCCTTTCCTGGAGGTACTCACCAATCCTCTACCGCAGGTTCCTTGGCAGAGCTGCTTTGTTCCTTCCCCCAATGTAGAAACTTTTCCATGCCCCTCGGCAATCACTTGTGCAGGGAACAAAGCAGCATGCAGGCAAGCAGCATAGGGACCTTGTCTGAAGCCGCACACATGCAGGAAATGCACCCTTGCATCCTCATTTACCCTCAGGAGTGAGATATTGGCTTCAACGACCCCCACCTGTGGAAATTGGTGGAGGAATTTATAATATTGTCCCTAGTTGCCTACAGTGATTCCCTTAAAAAAACCACTGATATCCTTTGCCCCATCTTGAGTGCACCCCCTGGGTTGAACTCACCATGTTTAGGGTGTTCGCTGAGCTCTGTGCTTGCCAGGGGACAGTGAGAAACTGATTTGTATTTTTAAAAAGATGCATTTTACTATAATGATTCGATGCTGTGCATGCACTAACAGTCAGGGCTGTCTATTGTTTCTTCTGCTTCTATAGACGTGGCCTTCAGGGGAACTCCCTACACACTGGCGGAGTGCCTCCTCCAGATAAAGACGCGACCAAGGAGGAGCAAGGAGGACATGTTTCAAGAGGTGCTCCAATCTTCAGAAGTCGAAAGACAAGAACATAGGGTGTGGAGAGCGACTTTAAAGGAAAATTATAAAATAGAAGGCAGAACAGAAAGGAGAGCTAGGAGTGAATTTTAATGGGCCAGGAGCAGATGATAAAAGCAATGGAGGAGCAAGCAGAGATGTTGAAGTCCTTAATCACACTGCAGGCTGAATTAATGCATGCTCAGCCAATACAGAACTGCTTTCCGTGCCCGCCCCAAACTCCTCCCACACATTCCTTGCAACTTCCCAGCCCGTCTCAGTACTCCCTTCACTCCACCCCTTTGGACAGCTTCCAAAATGATAGCTGGATTTACACACAGCTCTGAGAACCTATGCTGCCCTTCATTATCATCTCCCTTCCCACCAAGCCTTTTGTGTGTGTTGTTAATTGGTATTTAATAAAGAAAAGCACTCTCTGAAAGATAACCAATCTTTGTCTCTTACACATGGTGGTTGCTATTGGAATGAATACAAAGTGGTAATTTGATCATTTGCTGAGTACAAATCACGGTCAGGAATCAAAGTTTTCATGCAAGGTGACAAGTTAAAGCATGGCAGAGTGCTATATAGAAAGACACATTATTGGAGCTCATTGTCAAAATGGTGCCTCAAAGCCTCCCTGATTCAAATAACTCCCGCATTGTGCCCCT